CCTGTAAATTTAAGGGAAAGCGTATTAATAAGACTGTGACTATGACTGGAATAGGGCAGACTTCCGTTAACTCAACAATACAGATTTTGACTTTGGTAGAGATTGATGATATTAATATTGAGATTTGTTTTCATGTATTGTCTGATCATCTTCTACGTTATGGTATTATGATTGGACGTGAGATTCTAGGACATGGTTTGACTGTACAGTTGACTACTGACCGAATTAAGATTTTTAGGTCTCTTTTTATTGCTTCTTGTGAGGTAGAGCAAACTGAAATTGACTGGAACTCTATTGATACTGACATACCAGTGGATCGTAGAACAGAGTTAGTTAGTACCTTGCAGGCTTTTGAGAAATCCTTTACTACAGGTATACCTACTGCACCAGCTGATACGGAACCGATGCAGATTCGTCTCAAAGATCCGAGTAAAACTGTAAATCGACGCCCTTATCGATTGAGTGTCGATGAGCGTAAGGTTGTACGTGGCAAGATTGACGAGCTGCTTCAGGCTGGTATTATACGGCCTAGTTCATCCCCTCATGCGAGTCCTATACTCTTGGTGGAGAAAAAGGACAAGTCTCTTCGACTATGCGTCGATTATCGTGAATTAAATGATAACACAATCTCTGATCGTTTTCCTTTGCCTCTTATATCGGATCAAATTGATAGGTTGCATGGAGGACACTACTTTTCCACCATTGATTTGGCATCAGGTTTTCACCAGATCCCCATTGCAGCAGAATCTATTGAGAGCACCGCCTTCGTTACCCCCGATGGTCATTTCGAATACCTGACGATGCCATTTGGTTTGAAGAATGCACCCGCGGTTTTTCAGCGTGCGATGATAAATGCTCTTGGAGATCTTGTGAACACTTATGTCGTTGTGTATATGGACGACGTTTTGATTGTTGCTAGTGACGTTGACGAAGCCTTGGAACGTCTTAATATTGTCCTCAAGGTGCTGTCTGAAAAGGGTTTTACCATCAATTTTAAAAAGTGTACTTTTCTGAAACAAAAGGTAGAGTACTTAGGGTTTGAGGTTAACCGTGGAGAGATTCGTCCTAACCCGCGTAAGATTGAAGCATTAACGGCACTACCACCGCCTGAGACGGTGACGCAGCTACGGCAATTTATTGGTTTGGCGTCTTACTTTCGCCAATTCGTGGCAAGGTTCTCACAGGTGATGGCGCCGTTATATGCCCTGACGTCTGGGAATGGTAAGTTGACCTGGAAGCCGGAACATGAGGAAGTTAGGGAGAAAATTATAGCCGCTCTCACTAATGAGCCTGTGCTCATGATCCATGACCCTGAAGCTGAAACTGAAGTTCACACGGATGCCAGTGCCATAGGCTACGGTGCAGTCTTACTGCAAAGAAAAGAAGGTAAGCTACATCCAGTCGCCTACTACAGCAAGCGTACGTCTGACGCCGAATCGAAGTACCACTCGTATGAACTTGAGACCCTCGCGGTGGTCAATGCCGTAAAACATTTTAGGCGTTATCTCCATGGTCGCAAGTTCAGAGTGGTCACCGATTGCAATTCCCTGCAATCCACGCGCAAGAAGTTAGACCTGACGCCGCGTGTTCATCGGTGGTGGGCTTTTCTACAAGGGTTCGATTTCGACATTGTCCATCGTGAAGGTAAAAACATGAGCCACGCCGACTTCTTCTCCAGGAACCCATTACCGCCAGCTGAAACTAAAAACAATCTTAGTGAGAAGGTAGTATTTAAGGAAGTTAATCTCGCAGAGTTATCTCAAAATTGGCTGATCATGGAACAGCAACGTGACCCTGAAATTTTAAAGCTCTTGACTGACATCGATACCAATGAGCTCCCTGCTGATGTTGCCAAGACTTACGAGCGACGATCTGGAGTCCTGCACCGAAAAGTGCAACGAAATGGTAAGAATCGTTGGTTACCTATTGTCCCCCGTTCTTTTCGTTGGTCCGTTGTTAATAACGTGCACGAGGGATTACTGCATTTGGGTTGGGAGAAAACACTGGAAAAACTCTACGACCTCTACTGGTTCGAGAACATGTCGAAGTTCGTGAGGAAATTCGTAGAGAACTGTGTGACTTGTAAGATTTCAAAGTCACACACAGGTAAGGTCCAAGCTGAAATGCACCCAATTCCAAAGGTAGCTATACCATGGCACACATTGCACATCGACGCTACCGGGAAACTGAGTGGCAAAAACGACAAGAAGGAGTACGTTTACGTTCTGATAGACGCCTTCACCAAATTTGTTATGTTGCATCATACCCTGCACATTGATACAGCAAGCAGCATCAAAGCGTTGAAGGCTAGTGTTGCTACCTTCGGTGCCCCATCGCGCTTGATCGCTGATCAAGGGCGGTGCTTCGCCAGCAAGGAGTTCAGGGAGTACTGTGCCTCGGTTAACATTAAGCTGCACTTGATCGCCACAGGTAGTTCTCGTGCCAACGGACAGGTTGAACGAGTGATGAGCACGCTCAAGAACATGCTCACTGCCGTAGAGACAAGCAATCGCTCATGGCAGGATGCATTGCCCGACGTTCAACTTGCCCTCAACTGTACCGTAAGTAGAGTCACGAAAGCTAGCCCACTCGAGCTGCTGATTGGTAAGACTGCTAGACCTATCGATATTATGACGGCAAATGATGAAGAGCCTCATGTCGACATTATTGAGGTGAGAAAGATAGCTGTTGAGAACATGGAGAAAGCTTCAGCCTATGACAAGCAACGTTTTGACTCTACGAAGGCTAAAGTGCAGTCATTCTCTGTAGGTGACTTTGTTTTGCTACAAAATGAAGAGCGAAACCAGACAAAACTTGACCCTAAATACAAGGGACCGTTTAGGGTGATCGAGGTTCTTGATGGTGATCGCTACGTTTTGAAGTCTCTTTCTTCCGCCCGGACATACAAGTATCCACATGACCGACTGCGAAAAATTACAGACGTTGACATACACGTAGGTGACGATGACGAAATTAGCCATGACAATAACGAAACTAGCCATGACAACGACGACAACACTGACATAACTTGTTGAATGCATTCATTGTAAAATGTACCTACCACAGTAAAAGTATTCTTATTACCTGTAGTGTTAACTAAAAAAAAAAAAAAAATACGCGATTTATGGTTGAATTGATGTATCTCACGATAGTTATTATAAAAACAATCCGTGTTGTAATAGGAAAAATAAAGTAACATGATGAACAAACCCACTTTAAGTATTATTTTGATAAAGGCTCGAAATGATTATCTCGATGGTGTTGTGTTTTGTAACCGGATGGAGGTTACATGTGGAGGTGACCGGATAGAGGTTGCCTGTTGTGTTTTGTAACCGGATGGAGGTTACATGTGGAGGTGACCGGATAGAGGTTGCCTGTTGTGTTTTGTAACCGGATAGAGGTTACACGTTTAGGTGACCGGGTAGAGGTTGCCTGTTTTGTTAGTAACCCGATACAGGTTACGTGTTGAAGACCGGATGGAGGTCGATTGGTTTGATGCTTATGACTGGATGGAGGTTATAAGTGTAATGATGGTGACCGGATGGAGGTCAGAGTATGAGCACTGCACTTTAATGAGTTTCCTATTATTGAAGGAATATGGGTGTTGTTCAACATGTTAGCCTTGAGAGAAAGAGTTTGCTATTTTCGTTAAAACCTTTGATGATTTTGGTCGAAGTACTTTTTGTTCCCCTCTACTTGGGCCAGGAATGGCCGAACGACTGTTATGAGTATTCGAGAATGTTCTTTCTCTCCAGGTACTCCACACGAGGACGTGTGATCATCAGGACGGCCGTGTCGAAGCGTCAACGCATATCAATCGATTTAGATATGGCAACTATTGTTGAGAGCGTCAAGTAATTACTTGAGGATGGTTAGCGTGGAGTAATGGCAACACTGATCCGGAAGATTAATGATACTTTGACATTTTGACAGCGAATGAGATTGACAGACGTCATATTGCGCGGGAAACACTTGGGGAAAATATCGCGGCGTTGGCGGCAGCAACAAGCGTTACTCCCCGCTAAACTTCCTGCGTTCTCAGTTATTGTGTTGTAGCTATATTCCTTAAATAATATTGTTTGATTTAATAATGTCGCGACCCACTGGTAGCGAATCTCCGACATATATATTATATATACGTATATGCAGTCATAGTCACGATGATTCCCCCAACCTCTTCAAAAGAAGCTCCCGAACTCTCTGCTTGAAAGACAGCCGACTAGTCAAGATCCTAGTAAGATTTATTATTAATTTCTTATAGATAAGCCTACAGTACTATTACTATGAATTGGAGTGAACGTAATTATACGCTCCCCCCCTCCCCCTTTGTTATAATTAAACGTGAAGGATACAGACAATAAATTGTTTTTTTTTTAGTCTTTAATTAATAGGGGTTTTTATCCACATGCATTAGTCCAGCTAATTGTACTTTATACTCTATTGACACAAAACTATATCTTAAATTATTAAATAAGTTATACATTATTAGGTACTATGAAATAGGGGAGAGAATTACTAGCCAGACTTACTTATGACTGGCAATAAGCCACGGATTATACGTTTTGTATTTTAAGTGAATTAATTTAAATGAAAAGGCCTATTAACATAAAAGTCTTAAAATCAAGTAGTTATCTATTACACATTGGTCATTAAAATTAATAACTGTTTCAAGCTCCATTGCTTAAATAAAAAATATATGGACATGTTAAATAATTTTATCTACTTAATACCTTTTAATCTTGCATGTGTAGAATTTTTGGTCACCCAGATAGGTACTATAAAATATCCAACCGGACTGGAATGGAAAGTGTAATTCTTGAGGAATATTTAAGTGTATAGTTTCTTGTATAGTTATTATAAGACACGGACCATGCTGGAAACCTAGTTTTAGTTATATTTATAAATCAATGTTGTCGTTTGTCTCGCCTGGAACTAGAGCAGTACATTTGTTGTAGCCGAGTGAGAGCAGCGGCAACAACGCGTGGTACTTGTCTGTGCAGGACCTCACGGACGCCGCCAACATGGACGCGGACGACACGCGCGACAACCGCGACGCGCGCGACACTCGCTCGCGACACACGGCGCGCCCGCACGACTCCTCGCCACCGCTCGGTGAGTTTCACACATTCTTATAATCTATCTTACTTCTTACTAGTATTATAAATGCAAAGTTGCGATGTGGTTATAATATGAATTACATTTAATGTCTCATAATAGTTACTCTGTTAACCAAAAAAAAAAAAAAAAAATTTCATCTGGGTGTTTTATATATGAAGTCTCATACTGAGACTAATACTGCTAGGTGCTCTACTGACAGACAGACTGACAGATTACTATGACGTTTCTTTGTGAAGTTGAAAAAAACAGTATTTACACTAAAGGATTTATTTGACAAGTATACATATGTACATGTAGATAAATTATATTAAAATTAATTTAGGTAGGTACTGCTGAAGCTAGTGCTCGTTACAGGTGTTTAATAATTAGTAGGTAGGTAGGTACAGATACTGTATTTTGAAATTGCGTGCCCAATACATCATACGATATAGGTATAGTTTTAATCTGACACATTTACCCTACGTGCGATAACAAACAAAAAACCTAAATGTGGATAACAGTTATTACAAAAATTATGTTATAGGTACATATAGGTTTTGGCTGTATCATCAAGTTGCTCTATGCAATATTACAACACCCACCTTTTCCATGGTATTGAAGGTGGCTTTTTAATCTTTCAAAAATTGGACCTTTTAGAAATCTTAGCCCGCGACTCGTGACATATTTTGGAAAAAGTTTATCTATTAGGTATTGTTGTACATCCCAAACGTATTCATACCCCAAGGTAATCAATAGGATTACCTCTACAATTTAATGAATCTGTCTTTATGTGGTAAAATGTATACTTAATAATGCATAAGGAAATCTTATGCACTTCTGTCTAACCATTCGTGTTACACAAAAGCGTTGTTATGTTATAAATTACTCTTGCGCGGTTCCACCCTTTTTTGGTCTTAGTATGATGTCTTAGCCTATGACCTCTCTCGGTAAATAGACTATCTGAAACAAACATTTTCTAATTCAAACCATTATTTCCGAAGATTAGCGCGCTCAAATTCTTTAGGTATATCTATAACATTATGAACATTGTATCTATCTGAAAGTTTAAATAATAATTGGACTAATAAATGTTGAAACCATGTATTTACTACAAGCTATGTGCTCTAAAAGTATTCGCGCTCTATATAAACGAGCAGAAACAAAGAATAAGAAACGCGATAAAAAGTTTGATAGCGATGGCTTGTCGATTGTTCGTAAAAATACCAATTCTTAACAACTTATGAGGTATTCCCCTGAATGTTGAGGGGATGTAGTACACTGATGCAGTCCGGCGATGTTTGTACGAGTTAAAACAATCTCCTTAGTAATTGAACGAACAGTTTATTTTCAACCACAGACCACAGACACAGAGTCGTGACGCTAAACACGTTACTAGTTGTATTATTTGTATTTAAAACCGCTTTCGTTTAATAATAATTCGAACGTGCCTTCAAAGCCCGTCCAAAAACGCTCAGTTGTTGTTTATTTCCGAAATATTCTCTTGTGTGACAGATACATTGTGTTGCAAGATAATGTTTGTTTTGTTGTGCTGTTTTCTCATAACATTCAGTAGTAAACATACAATGGAACTTTAGTATGAATCGTGGGGTGCCACAAGACACGCTTGAAATATAGTTTATTATTAAGTCTTGAGTGCAATTAGTGTCTTACTAAATAGTTCCAATGTATTCGCTCTGAAAAGCATTCAAATCAATATATAAATTAACTTTAAAAACCAAATAATAAAGTGTCAATGATTTCAATAATTTACTTTTCAAAAGAAATTAAGAACAGCGCGGAAGTAAAAATGGACGATGCTGAAGTATTAGATTACTCAGAGGATGAGTTTGTGGTGTGTGAAATATTTGAGGTGTGGGAACATATTGATAGGAGCCAGTGTGTGAGACCTACGTCCAGTCTGCTAGGTAAATTATTTTTAAGTGATAGGTCGGTAAATATGTAGTCGGATTACCTGATAGTAAGCAATCCGCGCCGCCCATGGACAGCTGCAACACCAGAGAAGTTAGGTGTGCGTTGTCGGGCTTTAGGGGATTAGAGTTTTGGAAATTTAGGGTTTGAGGAGCAAAGGGGGAATAAGAAGGATTGGGCCTCCGGTAACCTCACTCACACGGCAAAATACAACACTGTACTTGTTACACGCTGGTTTTTCTGTGAGGCCGTGCAGGTGTACACGGCGTACCTTGTATTACGTGCGACTGACAAAAATGGTGTGCGTGTGCACAATTTTTCTTTGAGAATTAAAGATGGTTCGTCGAAACTAATATTATTAATACCAAAGTAATGACTTTCTGTTACACTTACCATCTGTAGGTACTATTTGATGATTTTTGGTACAGGACTATAGAGATAGAATAGATTTACACATTATATGTTCACTTTCACGTTGCTTGTTTGAATAGCCGCTAAAATAAATTTGAATATTTATATGAACTGTATCAAATAAGTTAATCGGTAACTTATTGAATAAAGGTTGTGAAACTAGCGCTTAAGATTAAAAAAATATAAGTAAAACGCTGTAAATATGATTCTAGGGGAGCTTAAACGCAGAAGATGGGTTATAATTTTGCCCTTTCTGTATCTATTCACTCTGTTTACGGTAAAAGTGAGTTAGTATTACTTACCACAAAAAAGCGAAGGAATTATATCCTTAAGTTTAAGCACTGCTATTTAGATGTGTGTTTATTTATAGTTACACACACAAAGGGAGACATAATGCCTCTTATATTCTTATCTCGTTCGATTCGATGATCTTTTGCACACAACCGTAGGTAGGTACTATGTGGTCAAAGTCGATCAAAGACTCTTTTGTAAATGAAGTCACACATATCTCGATTAGGCGTTTTTTTTAAAGATATACATTGTAGCTTTTAACAGCAAATGTAATTAATTGAATATTTTTATCTTTTTTTACATTCATGATTAATTTATTTAAAACTAGCTACTTTCGCGAGGTTCCACCCGCTGCTCGATGTTTTATAGCCTATCCTTCCTCGATTAGTGGACTAACAAACATGGTTCAATTCGAACCAATAGATCTGGAGATTAGCGCGTTCAAACAAACGAACTCTACAGCTTTATAATATTATAATATTTTAATATAGTATAGATAACGACTTACACACGTGAGTTAACTGAGAAAAGCTCTTCTAGTGATTATCCAAAAATCTATCTTATTTAAAAGACTTATGATTTAAATTAGGTTTATTGACGTCAGCTGCGCCGACCTGTGGTTGTGGTTAACTAAATTATAAATAAATATTACACTGTCTTACCACTGATTAACTGTATTTCGAGTGTCAAATCCAATGAACAAAAAAATCAAACCGCAATTACGAATTGCTATAATTAAATAAATGATACGTAAGTACAAGAATTGATAGCACAAATATAACCACACAATGTTTATTTATTTTCTTCTATGAGTTTTAAAAGTAATTAATATTTGTTATCAACACCCTATTTCCCTAACAATTTCGTAATGAAATAATCCTATAAATAATTTATGGGAATAAATATCCGTTAATATGTATTACATGGTTACGAATTTGCCTACTCAGGTAACTGTTCCAATTCCCGACAGTGGCATAGTATTTTACGGTTAATTATTTTACTAAATTGGATGTTTTTACGCAGAGTTTGGATTTGTTTTTATATGTATAGGGATAGTTAAACAAAGCGACCATTACGACAGAAATGTATCGGTAGATTTTTTATAATTATTGTATTGAATAATATAGGAAATATGTACATAACGTTGCAGTTACAAATGGCGACGCAGAGTACCGCGAGGAGGAGGCGGGCGACACTCTGCCCACCGACATGTCCGACACATCCGACAGCGAACCCGAGAAACCACACAAGTAAGTACTAACCATACTTTCTGCCCCGCACAGCAAAACTTTGCCATAATCTTCCGGACGGTGGTATTCCCGAACCGATACGACCTTCAAACCGTTAAAAAACGAGCGTACTCCTTCTTAAAAAACCGGCAACGCACCTGTGACTCTTCAGGTGTTGCAGGTGTCCATGGGCGGCGCCGATCGCTTACCATCAGGTGATCCGTATGCTCGTTTGCCTCCTTTTCCATAAAAAAAGAAATACTACATACAGCGACAACCGTTGAAAGGAGGTCTATGAAAATAGGTTGATATTCAATGAGGATTTCCGAATTTATATTTTTCCTTTCCTCTTAACAACTTGTTTTTTACTTTTTAGTTCATTTCTAAACATGGCAGGTGTGTGTTTTTTTTTTAATGCAATGGTCCAATTTACAACTGGTTTAATTTGGCCTTAGTGGTGGCGAAGTGGAGAAGTGCACAGCGGCCCACGACGGCAAGCTGATCCTGCGGCAGGAGTTCCAGTTCAACATCGACAACCTGTTCACCATGATCTTCACCAACTCCAAGTTCAATCTCGAGCTCCTTGCCGTCAGAGGCACCACAGACTATGTACAGGTAACTGGGAATCTCTGCCTGATTTCATCCATGCTGCAGTATCAATTATTTTAAAGTTGTGTGTACACATTGGCTTATTTTGCATCAATTAAACTGACAAAAATGAACAAAAAAAAGATAGTCCTCCGTTTACTAGTGTCCGTTATCGCTGTATAAAATATTGTCTATAAATAATGTAAACGTTGCAGGCTCCGTGGCAAGTGCAGGGAGGGCTCAAGTGTCGACAGATTAGCTATACACTCGGGCTCACGTCCGGACCTATAGGACCTAAGGAAGTGCAAGTCACCGAGACACAGGTTTGTCACATAATACCTACATCTAACGGTCGTTTTTTTTAGTAGTGGTAAAACGGGGTAGAATTCTAGGGATGAATAGATATTAGGGCTACCTTTTCTATATCTATTAACCCCTTTTTACATACGATAGCTTGTACTACGTAACTGTGACCAGCAATTTCGCTCGTATTACAAAGCAATAGAAACGCTTTTACCAACTTTTTGTAAAATACCTGCCTACATTCTATGTGAATAAAAAAGTTATAAGCAACTCCAATTTTCTCCATGCTCATCTATCTCTTTTTTTTATTTTTTGACATGTTGCCCCACACTAGGATTTACTCGTGTGTCGTGGGTGCGGTTACAAACAGTTTCAATTTCACAAACACTTGACACAAAGACCTAGAACAACTATTTGTGGATCACACACAGTTGTTCTGTGCGGGAATCGAACATCGAACCCGCGACACGTTGCATGGCAGCCATTTGCCCAGCCACCGCACCAACCGTGCAGTCAATCTCTATACCTTCCACAACATGTATAAATTCAGACGAAAATCGGTATAATATAACCTAAACTATATATTATGTTTTGTCAGGTAATGAACAAGTGCTCAAAGCCGGGCATGCTGTACTCGATCGACTCGACGAGTGACAACGCCGGCATCCCCTACGCAGACTACTTCAGCGTGCAGGTGCACTACTGCTTGCAGCGGGTCTCTGATACCGTCACGGAGCTCTCCATCTACGGACACGTCAAGTACAAGAAGAGCATGTGGCCTATGATTAAAAGTAACTATTTTGTATTATAATTCGTTAGACTTGTTTTATAAGACTGGCTAATTATGGACCCCTGACGGCGCCTGAAACTAATCGAGTAACCGTCGAAATGTTACGTGAAGTAATACTCTTTCGCTATTATCTTTAAATCCCATTAACACGATGCATATGACTTTGGTCTAAACAATACATATGATATTATGTAAACGACACTCAATTGACAAAATTCAATTGCTCCTGTTTTTTCAAAGAAATATTATCGTGTAAATGAGCTTTTAGTCTTAATAATAATGATGTGAATGTTATCATCAGTGGTTCAACATGTACCAATGTTTTTATCTAGCATTCCTGGAGAAGAACACAATATCAGGGTTGGAGGATTTTGCCAGGGTGCTGGAGTCCCGGCTTACCAGCGAGGCGGACTGCGTCGTCCCCGCCGCGAGGAAAGCACGCAGGCATCGCCGCGCTCCCGGTACTTACTCATAGTCATACTGTGAATGTAAAGCACTAACTTGACAGATAGTAATGTTACATTTAAGTATCCTAACAATGAATAAACGTGATTTAACAGTTGAGGTGTTACACATAATAATATAATAGAAGTTTGTTGGCATTACACACAACTATTTTGCATAGAATTAGAGCTTGTATTTGTTTGTGTGTTAATGTACAGTGATGTTCAATGTGTGTGTAGTGGACTAGTGTGATGTGGTATAATGTAGTTGTTTGTGTCTCCCAGTGGGTCTGGCGAGTCGCGTGCCGTTCCCCACGGCCGGCCTGCTCGCGCCGCGCACCGCGATCTGTCGCCCTGTCTACCCTCTCTGTCCTCGTACAGCGACAAGACAATAAAAGATACTATCTCTTCTTTCCATCGCACACTTTTGCTTCGCTACAGCCACGCTGGGCTTCACAGTGGAAATAATACACTCTCCACACTCATTTCATCTTAATATCGTTACGATTTGTTGAATAAAGCTGACTTTTCGTTGTACCGTGACTGGAGTGGCGACGTTCCCTTTGTGTGTCAAGTGTGGCATTGTGAAGATCCATGTATGTAATACGATGAATAGCCGAGCTGGTATATGCTGTAGAGTGGCGCGGTACTAATGGTTGTTGTGATGTTTGTGCAGCTGCGGCGGGGCCGGAGGCTGCGCCCGCGCCGGGCAAGCTGGCGGCCAGCGGGCTGGCGGCCGCGCGAGTGTCCGTGTCTAGGGCTGCCAGGCCTCCGCCCTCGAGGCCCGGGGCCGCCACGTGGCTGGCGGCGCTACTCGCAGTGCTACTGCTCATCAACGCTGCGCTATACTACAAGCTTTATTACACCGACAGAAGCGGATACGCCTTCGATATCGATGACTTACAAAGCAGGTGAGAACATTATTCAATCGAGTCATTTTACTCTGATGTTTAATCAGTGTGTAGTAGTGTCATTTCGTTGTGAATTGAATAACTTGTGTGTATGTTCATGTAGTATAAGTGAGTAACGCGTGTGTGTGTGGTAGACTGAGTAGTGGTCAGGGCCCGGGCATGGCGGAGTGGTCGGCCCAGCTGCAGGCGCACGCGCGGCGCCAGCGCGGACAGTTGCTGGCCTGGCGACACGCGCTCGACCGGACCGTGCAACATCTCGCGCAGGTACCATCATACTCTCCACTCATGTAGCCCTCTAATAACGTGCCACTAAGATTTTCTCCATTATATTGTCTCTAATCAAAAGAACATCCTGTTGTCTGTTTAGTCAAAACATTTATGGTCAGTTTTACACACCACACCCTTTGCAATGGGGATAGTAATTTAATTAAATGCTATTTCGAAATGTCAAAAATGAAGACGTCTGTTTTTTGCGACGAATACAATACTATGTGATCTAGCATTTTAAGACTAACCAGTGCATTATAAAATATATTTCAGACGGAACAAGCGCTGACGAAGCTCTTAGAGACGATAAAGCCGTCGCTGGAAAAAGCGCAAAAAGAGGCAGAATCGAGGGACGAGCTCTGAATGAATTGTATGTCACTCATGCGCACATGTGGTTTTATGTACAGACCTGTAAAACGCTGAATTGCCGCCCTCTTCTGGCGGTCAATACTTCTTCAATCTACTTTAGTACACACATTAAAGTAGATTCATTGCAATCTGAGGGTAGCAATAATGTAGGCATAGTATACCTATCTCTACCTACTTAGGCTTATCTCAAGTAACGAGTATACGATTCACAAGACAATAGATTGTACAGTTGTATATTCAACCATATGTGCGCTAAGTGAATATTTTATCCTAATACGTCTGCTAGAGGTTTTCTCGACAGTTCCCCAAACGTTTGTTCTGTAATACATCATTCGTTTTTTAAAACCTGTATACCCAAATAATTACAATTTGGTCGAGTGTTCACAAAAATACACTGTAACAGACATCGTACAAAATTTACACTCAAAATATCGACCAACACTCCTCATTCCCGGTACACAAAGAAAACCTCACAGATTCCCACTGTGATAAAGTAGATACAAATAATAAATTTATTCCTTTAGTGAATACTGTAACCTTTGTGACGTATGACGCCAAGCGATCGTACTGCATCCAGTTTACTGCTTGTTATTCGTAAGGTATTAAGTTAATTTTACTCTTAAGACGGCGAAGGGGAATGGGGCTCTGATCTTTGATTGATTGAAGAGTATTCATAACTTTACAAAATATAAATTAAGTACTCTGTTGTAAACACAGATTGTATATGTTCAAAAGTAAAGTAATACTCGCTAGAGCCCTGCTCCTCTCAGTACTTCAAAGCCTCATAATCGCTTTTGTAATGTTATTTCTACAAGCCAGATACTCTTGGAACAGAAAGCATCACAAACTGAAGTCGCTAGGTAACGTGTACAGTTCGAGGCTTGGGTTCATGTTAGTAACGTAAGTACTTACGGCAGTTATATTTAATTACATGTATATAAAGAAACGGTGCACAATATTTTAGCAATGTTTGTTAGATATTTTTATTTATTTACTTCAAAGCAAAATTTGCTTGTCTGGACTCGACAAAAACCGGTCAAGTATATAGTACAGTTTACTTGTCCATCCATTGATTGTTTAATCACAAATGTAAAGATATTACAATTATTTATTTTAATGTATTAATTTACTAAAATATTGTACATTGTTAGTGTAAATATCGCCAGCGCAATAATAGTTCATAAAATAGTTTGTAATTTATAGAAACAATTAAAAGCTTAGGAACGGATATTGCTTTAGTGTATAATAAATTACATAATTGCTTGCTATTTTTGAAGGGATACTATTGGTATTTAATTTTATTTTTTATTGATGTGTTTTATTTATTCTCGCTAAATAATGAAAAAGTTATTTGAACATGGTCTGCCCTGGTACATAGGAATATGTATTTAACAAAATTATTGACAGCTCTACCAAAAATTGTTAGCCATGCTCGGTGTAAGGTTCCGATTGTTGCATTTGAACAGTAGAGTAATTATACGTTAAGGTATCATGAAGTTACTTCCGCCAAAAGTCGTCATAAGCGGCATAGTGCTAAGCATGATACAGTACACAGACATTAGTGGTGTCAATGCTATCAGACATGTTTCGATCAACGGGTTTGCTTTCCTGCTCTACTCACAAAAATAATGATATTCCTAAACTACAATAAGTACGAATTATATACATAAAACCAATTATTTAAATGACAAGTCTACCTCTTGTAAATAAGTTTATCTGATCGATACATGCCTGATTCGTAGAATTAATTAAATATTCAAAAATGAATCTAAAATTATAGATTTATATTAAAAAGAAAACTATATGATACAAAGAAGTCTATCATGGTGTTGTTTAGAATATTCAGAGTATTAAATATATAAAAATAAGTCGATGTTATGGAATAGAAAAAAAAAAGAAAAAATATAAATTTTTCAGTTGTAGTAATGATCTCTTATTGTAACAATATTTTACTACACCTAGTTATGTTTCGGTGCTCTAGTTTTATGTAAAATGTAAATTAATTTTGTTATTTTTGAAATTGAAGCTTGAATATTGAAAATGTCAATTATGTTATTATTTATTATTGTAAAATCAATTAGATCCACATTATATTCAATGAAATACTGAGTTTACACAAGGAACTATGCCTTTAGTATATAACTGTTGTTATTGACTTATTGCAGTTGTATTATATACTTCATTCCATGTGTGAAATGATCTGAACATTAGATTAGTTGGAATGGTGGGACAAAATATTTATAACATAGAATCCTATTTAGATAAATACTTGTTATGTGCATTTCTTATGTGAAATGGTGTTTGTGTTAGTCTTGAAGAAGCGGGCAAAGGTGTAGCCAGAGCCATAAAGAGGGATTTAAGAATCCCCTTACCATAACCTCAGTGGTGGCTCGATCATTAGGCGGTTATTATGTTATATGGCCATGAAGACAAACAAATTCTACCAATCGTAAAATAAAACGCCTAAGTAGTTTTTATAGTGCTAACTTCCATTATAATCGTACACACGTTGAGCTCTATTCCGTAGCACTAGAGAATAGATGTATCAGTTTAGTGTACAGATTGTATGTAAGTCGACTGTGTGATGTAGAAAGGGCTAAAACAAGGACAAAATATATATATTGTTCCTTGTAAGGTATTGGTTGATTTGTTTGTGTAACTGCCAAGCCATGGTCCAAGAGTACAAGCCTAAATAAGCACCACTGCCCACTTCTAAACCCATTGTGTGTCAAATGAAATGCAGCCAGAAAATAGTTGGATTTATATTGCACAATTAATTCCATTTAGATATAATGGATTTATGTAAGTTAGACAATTCTATTCTCAGTATTGAATAAATATTTTAATGAAAAAGAGTAGTTTTATTAGACAACTCTTCACCCATAAAGTTCTAACCTCGAATCTAAATAACGGGTATCTTATCCATTCCTACACCCCCTGTAAGAAGTCATTATAACAATCCCTACAAAATCCATTAATTTTTCCTTAGTCCGTTTTTTTTTTTTTTGTCAGGGGAAAATCATCCAATGACTTCTCCCGCCCAGGGTAAGGCGAGAGAGAGTGTCAGACTCTTACTGACTAAAAACCCCCCCGTTCCTTCTCCTGCTCTGGGCCGAGGTCGCGGTGCCTCATTGCGCTTACCCCGCAGCCCCGGCTAAACATCAGCCCTTTAGGGCCCCGACTGTGGTGGTCTATTGGCTCTTTGAGGCGCGCGCGGAACGCACGCTCGGGTCCGGTTCTGGTCGGGCGGCGAGCTACCCTTACTCGCCGTCCGCAGACCCGCGCTTACGGTGGCCGGAGATCATCTCTCGATCCCCGACGTCCGGAATGTCGCCTTCTGCGGCGGCTGGGGCGCGAGGAGGATAGTTCCCTCACGCGCTCCGCCTCCTCCTTTGCGAGCATAACTGCTTCGCAGAAGGAGGAGATAGCTTCCCAGTTCCTCTCACGCTGCACCATGGCCTCGATTAAGGCCGGGCGCGAGAGGTCGCTGCCGCCGATCACTTCCCTGAGAACACGGCGGTGCTCAGCCCAAGCAGGGCACTCCGCCACCGTATGCTCCACCGTGTCCTCCAGGTGATCCTCACAATGACGACACTCGGGCGTTTCCTCCCGCTGGATCCGAAACAGGAACCTACCAAAGCTGCCGTGCCCGGTAAGCACCTGCGTCAGGCGGAAGGTGAGGACGCCGTGGCGTCTCTCAAGCCACACCTCAAAGAGGGGTCTTACCGCTGCTATAGTAGCGTGCCCGTTTCCTTAGTCCCTGCCCTCCCTTTCCATCCATACACATTATAATTCCAGCACTCGCATGTCCATGACCAAAGATAATTATATTACCTTTCTAACGTTTATTTTATCCTTTTATAAGTCGGACAACCATAACTAGAGAATCTTCAGATTTAAATAAAATAATAAAGTCATTTGAAAGATTTATTTTCTCTAAATTTAGAAAATGAATTTGAAATTAAGAAACTCACCCAACAATCGTAATTTCCGAGTTGTTGAATTAAATTCTGCAGCTCTTGACCTCCATGACAGTATCACACAAACCTTGACTTTACCAAAGTTATCCTTACCTTATGCACTGATGATAAAAGGTTTCCAAAATTGGCGAATCACACATTCTGATGAAGTCAACAAGCTGTACTTAGTTTAAGGGAAATGTATCAAGGAAAAAGCCATGGGGTTACATGACATACTTACCGCCTTCAAGAAATGATAAAAATAAAATGAAACTAGGTATTAACTCGGACACTGTGTCAAGATTTATTACAAATCCATCATACACAGCAGTCTGAGCAAGTAGGTCTTATTCTAGCTTAAGGTCTATCGTCGTCCTTGAAGACCATGGTACTGTGGCACTTGCCGCAGTAGTGACGGTCCTCCATCACGGCCATGAACACACCAGCGCCGCACTGCTCGCCCGTGCACTCTCGCCTCAAACGGTGGATCTTGCCGTTCTCGTCAACCTGGAAATAAATACATTTGCATTTAGTTAATTTGTACGAAATACAATCAAATCTCAGGAATACAAGAGATTGTCTAATACCATGGAAACACTTTTGTACGAAAATTTGGAATTATCCAATCTAAATTCGCGCAAATAACAACCTCGTTTGTTTTATTTAGCTGTTGCATCATCGATCGCAACACGCAATGCATTGTTCAACCGGTTCCCACCGTCACGCTATCCATCCACCGTGATTCAACGCAGCTACGCACAAGTCCCAACAGGTCTGCCTACCCCTGACTCATTTCAAAATACAACCAAAAAACAAATCAATAGGCCTCAAGTCGCGACCTGTCTCGAGTATTCCACTTTCGTAGCCCTTTTATTGCATTCCCGGGAGTTGTTTGAAATACTCCTTTATTTAAAAGCTTGCTAAGTGCCCGCGTTTTCCTTATGGCAAACACGTCGGTGCGTGTTCGAGAATAAATCTTGGGACTCGTGAGTTATCAATGGGCTAATGGGAAATATTTGAGTCATCACAGGTGTGGAAAGAATTTGTTACGGCGCAGACCGGTCGTAAATGTAAACAGGTTCAGCATAATTATGATCTTGAATTGAGTAAGTATTATTTAAGAGTGTGTACGCGCGTTTTAGGGGCGAAAGACCCGTATTTTAAAGTAAAGTTTACTAAACATATTGTTACACCTTGCTACTGCCTGCTTTGGTTGATAAAAGGAATGATACCAGAAACCAGACTATAACCTATCGTGAGATCGCGCTCTGAAATGTATGATAAGCTTCATAAGGAGTAAAGGCATGATGAGCACACCTATCCTAATTTATGTTAAGAATGTATCTATGTGTTCAACACACCTTGTAGAACCGAAGTACGGCTAGCTTGACCTTCTTCTTCTTGTGCTTGATCTTTTTGGGAGTAGAGTAGTTCTTCTTCTTGCGCTTCTTGGCACCACCACGCAGGCGGAGCACCAAGTGGAGCGTCGACTCCTTCTGAATGTTGTAGTCTGAGAGGGTGCGGCCATCTTCCAGCTGCTTACCGGCGAAGATCAACCTAGGAATAGCAAAATTGGTTGTTTTAACTTTCTATTACAAAAATAAATATTTTTTGTTGTAGTCGAATTATGTTTTGGTTGTTTTAAACAGGTTACGAGCAGTGCAGAGCATATTTGACTCTTTATGTTATATGTATGTGAAAATGTATGTTTATAAACATACTCAAGATACAGAAATACCTATTGTGGGGCAACAACCGAAAAAGTTATTGCGCGCATGCGTATTACACGGTAATCGATGAACACGAGGCTTAAATTTATTTAGATAAAACCAAATTACTATCACTAGTAAAGAGTAGCACGGTGAAGAGATTAATAGCCAAAATCTGAATCACCTAACTTCAACTTCAAAATAAGTTTTATTTTTTATTTTTAATTTTTTTTTTACTTGCAATAAACTAGTTCTTGACTGCGATCCCACCTGATGGGAAGCAGTGATGCAATCGTTTGTCAATCGATACTTTGTATAATTAAACTTGCATGTTGTTATTTAGTATTCGTTTTGAAGAACTTTTTTATCTAAAAACGTTACCTCTCACTAAGATTTTCTCCTATGTCGTGGGTCACACTCAAATTCATATATACATCCTACCCAGACCCGAACTATTTGTGGATGACAGAGTGTTGTTCCGTGCGGGAATCGAACCCGCAAACGTCGAACTTTTACGTTTACATCGAACGGCCCAGCCACCGCACTACCCGTAAATAAATGACAAAGTTGGTATACAAACTCACCTCTGCTGGTCTGGAGGGATTCCCTCCTTATCCTGGATCTTGGCTTTCACATTCTCGATGGTATCAGAGGGCTCGACCTCAAGAGTGATGGTCTTACCCGTTAGGGTTTTGACAAAAATCTGCATCTTGGCTCACCTGTGCACAAAGGAGAGAGAACAACATAAGTAAAATGTCTACCATACGCTAAATTACCTAAAAATAACTATACAGGATAAAACTATACATGTAATTGATAAGTAACAATGTAAATAACAAATTAAGGTTTAGATTTTTGTAAAATAACTTGACCGCGATCTGTCATAGCAAGTTCAAGGTCGCAGAATACGTGTAGGAAACAAGTTTCGAAGTGTACTAAGCTACATAAACCCGACTGGAACTGACTAATACTGTGACGAAATCAGTAAATAACAACAATAGACAAGCAAGGACCCGATTACACTCATATAAATAGTACATAATCACTTGTGTACTCAGTGCATTAAAGACTTGTGAGTAATTCAGTGCACAGTTCAGCTAATGGTTGCAAGTATGTGTGAAGCCCTAAGACCTAGAGGGGGTAAGTGAAACAAACACATAGTACTTTACAGAATACATTTATTGACCGGCCAAGATAGTACAATAAACTAATCTGTAACATTACAATTCTCTTGTAAATTCAAATCAAAGACGCAAAGTTTCAATCAACATAAATAGCAGAGTTGTCAGGTGTTAAAGTTTTACAATAATTTTAGACTAAAAGTACAGCATTTATGCAGCCATCATTCTCTGGGTTGTTCGTAACTTGTGCATATTTTCCCCACACCACCTTACCAGCCTGCGTTACCAGACCAAGTTCGGAAATGTTGATTTCAATAACAGTACCCTTTGTTATAACTCCAAGACTTGTGTACATCTGTGAGCTGGGGTTTTTCTTTACTCCGATAATTGGTAAACAGAATGTGGCTTTCAGCTCGGGATGTGTGACATGAGCTTTCTTGAATCTAAGTGCCATAGGCCTGATGAATCTCTCAAACTTAGGAGGTTTACGTGTGAAGTTTTCTCCTACAAATGTAACTTTAGTGACCATACGTTTCCATGCTTTTCTTTTAGTCTTTCCTGACTTGAGTACTTTGAATACCTCTGCATCAGCCTGTGCCCGGACTTTGGGTATAGGTACATCCCATTTTCCAGCCTTTTCTTTACGTTTCTGTTTGATCATGTTAGACAGTACTTTAGCCCGGGACTGCACATCTCTGTCCAGAAGGTACACAGGCAGTGCACCCTCTGCCACTTTCTCTGTGTTCTGTTTGACATTCTTTTCCTCATGTGCTTTGATTTTCTTTTTCATTTGAATCTTTTCATTGCGGCGCTCCTTGTTATAGATCTTGGCCTTGATACCGCGCAGCTTGCGAGCCTTCTCAGCACGCTTGTGAGGTTCACGCGCCTCGCGCTTTCTTTTCCGCTCTTCATAATCGAGCCTCCTACCGTATAGCTTTTGGTGGCGTTCGATATATTCGTTCTGCGGCATTGTGGTTGCTTATTCGGCAACTACAACAAAATTATCAAAATCAAAAGGTTTCTTCACAAACCTAACCTCTTCAATAGGTACTTGTTTTCACTATGTTTGGGTGCACGGGACCTAATTAGCGCAAAAAATGCAACCAAAATAAATGGCAAGATGCGCTACTGAAGCTTTAAATAACCACGAGTCTCAATAATTTCACCTCAATGCTTCAGTCCAACACCAATAGGCACGTGTTTGTATATTACCACGATTAAGTCCACTTTATGGCGAAAAACAATGTATTATTATTTCAATTAAACGAAAATTAAATAGAAATACGTACACGTACTCAACAATCACAATCTAATCTAATATTGCGCAGTAAATTGAAATTTATTTCACAAGATTGACAAACTCACCTTACGCCGACACCATGCCACATGGAAAAGGAAACGAAGTTGTTTGTGGGGACTGGTATTGACAGCAGGAAAAAAATGACTATTATGCTACTAAGCCTAAGTAGACACAAAGGGATTACAACATGCTCTCTACTAAGGGTTTCGACATTTTGTCGTGTAATATACTTTGACACCTTGTATTTTCAGCATAACCTTAAAGAAAAATAAATTAAATTTATGGTTTAGGCTAGGCTTATGCCACCAGTAAAAAATATTATAATACCTAGCAGTATTTTTTGTGATATTTTGCAAATATTACATGGCAAATGGAAAAGCGAAGGATTGCAGGGTCCGGTGTTCAAATAGGGCTACCTACCTAATAAAATAATGAATGAAACCGAATTTTCAAATATTTTAAGTTTAAAACCGCATTTTTTATTTTTCGATAAGAAATTAAGTTTGATAAAAAAAAATACAGAATGCCAGTTTAGATATTCGCAAAGAAATAAGTTTTACTGGTATCAGGCCCTAAATCCTGGTGTAGGTTAAACTTTTGTTCAATCAATCCTTGATTGACTTGATACCTATGTCAATTGTAATGTTTTTCTCTATCATTATTTTCTAGTATAATTAAGGTGTCTTGCACACATTTAGAATACCAAGTAGGTAGAAGAACACGAAGAATTAGGTTAGATCCGAAATGCAAGAAGAAGAAATCCCACAAATAAGATACTGATTTAGATAAATAACAAGTTTTTTGTGAAGTTTATATCTTTACTAGCTACTTTTGTGCGGTTTCACCCGCTGCTCGGCTCCTACAAATCGTAGCGTGATGTTTTATAGCCTAGTGCCTTCCTCGATAAATGTACTAATAAACATAAAAAGTCCAGTAACCAGTAGCTCTTCTAAACAAACAAATTCTCCAGGTTTATAATATTAGTTTAGATTATCGTTCATCTAAATATATATATTTATAAATTATTTTTTTATTTTGTAAGTGTATTTCTTCATTTGTGCACTGAACTAACACACCAACATACTACTGATAATGAGGTAAATAAATTAAAAAGATTTCATTAGTAGTCTCAAAATATAGTTATATTTTTGTACTCTTTATTTCTATGGAAATTTCAGACTCAATCCTAGTCTAGTTTTCCCATTGTAATTTCTCCACGAGTGCTACACAATTACGTACATTTAAATTACCTATTATTCTAGCCCCACATTGGCAGGTTTTGATAAAATCGAAATATGTTTCAAGAATTATTATTATGATATTATTATTTTCGTCGACTGCTTTTATTTATACATGTTTAAATTACTATAAATAAGTTAAGTAAGTAACATCTTAAAGAAATATTTATTTTATTTTACGAGCACAATTATAATACGAAACAAATTTAAATGAGGTGGCATGTGACGTTACATATTTTTAGACTGGCAACACTTGACTTAAGTAATAATAGCAAACTTTCCTAGCGCGTAACGAAGTTGTCCTTACCATTAATAAATCTTTATTTTAGGAAACGCCAGGCTATCTGGCTTAAATTAGTGTTATGAAAACATTAAAGCATTACTGAGGAACACAATAAAAAGTATTCGGTAAACAACCGAACGCCATTCAGGCTTACTATTATGAACACAACAGCAACCTTCTCTTCAGGTAAGTGTTGATTGTGAATGTCAATTCACAGAAAATCATCTACATTGGTGTGTGAAAAGTGCAAATTAAAGATAAAATATGATTGCTAAGTGTATGTATCGTGTATTAGATATCCTAATCGGTTATTAGGGACTATAATCCTGAAATGGGAGGTAACTTTTAACCGGCATCGGTGTATTTAGACTTCATTCATAAGCATTGTGCGTACATGTCAAATATCATTAACATTCCAAATGAGGTTAAACTTCTGCTTGAGCGTAGGTTTGTAGTAAAAAAGTTCCGTCAACTCCCTACCAAGGTGGTTTGGTTTGATGATAACGAATTTTGTTGTATTGTGCGATATATTGATAAAATGACCGTTGCTGATCCTTGTCCGCAGTGGAACTTGCGATAATTTTTTGATAAATTTATTGATAACAAAAGAGCGGGAAATAGAAATTAAAAAGTAATATTGTTATTCTAATTTTGGATAAAAACAACAATTTCTCATTATAATAATGCAAGCATTTAAGAATATTATGCATCTTATCATCATTATTAAGCTATCTAGATATTAATCTTCTGTTTATCTCTAATAAAATACTTTATTATGCATCCTTTCATTTCTACTCTGTATTTATTTTAGAAGATAGACTAGATAGATAGTTAAGTATTAAATATAATAGTTATGTATTTGTTTATAAGTAAAACTTGATAATGGTTTAAATGTTTTAGTAAAGTATAAATAATATTTTTTTTAGTAATGTATATTAAAAATGTCTATTAGAATTTGTAAGAACTCTGGTTTATAAGAAAACAAATATCTTATAATCTAATAATACTATATAAACAATAAAAATGGTAACTTTGTCAAATCCAGACCCTTATACCATCATTTTTACTCCAGACCTATAAATATCCAATCCAGTTTGTGGAAGAGTAACTAAGAAGTTTTTCTTTTAAAACAAGAGATATGCATATTTATCAAAGATTGTTTGACATAGACTGTAAATAAAGTGAATGTAATATGATTTTATGGATTTTAATTGATAGCCAACAAAATTTTATTCACAGCTAACTAAATTACAGGCAAACAATGTCTTGAAAAAACTTATGCTCTAAACAGTATCCAAAAAAGTTAAAAATTGTACAGTATTGATAGCATACCACAGTCTAGTAGTTTCTTTTTTGAGATTTAGTGTAACATCCCTGGGCAACTGTATTAGGAGAAAACATTTTTAAGGCCCAAAAATACTGTCTAGCAAAATAGATTGACTATTTTTAATTTTAAAATAGAAGTAAGCTGCATTCCTATTAAAAAAAAGGTTTAACTCATGATATGAGTGCAGATGTATGTGAGACACAATGTATTTTGTATTGTGTCTCAAAGACAAGAGGTTAACTTACTCTCCTCTCTCTATATAATAGGATGGCTATCTTTATAATGACAATTTCTACTCTATTATTGTCTATTTCATTCCATACTACGCCTGCTCTTTGTTCTCCATAGAAATCTACTCTGTGGAAAGAAAAAATAGAGTAATAGATACACTAGATGACTGATCAACAGACCTAAACCAACTTTTGATATTTAATTATTAAGTTAAACATTTAAAAGTGTCTAATCTTTTTAGTCTATTATTATTTAGTTAATAACTGACTGTGTGCAGTAGAGTTACACAGTAACACAATGGCAATATATGTATGGTTGGATGTTCCATCCCTTTGTGTGAATAAAGAGATGTGTGCAACATATTGTGGGACATGAACTTACTATATCTACACCTACATACTTAGTATTATTATATTACTGTGTTCAGACGCATTGAGATGGTTTTTATCTTCTGTCTCAAAATAACCCACTGTCCCTTTTATTCTGCAAAAGACTGTTAAATGATAAAATATGGTTATTTTACAAGAAGGATGCAAAATAGGAGGTTTAGATGTTAATGTTGAAATAAAAGTATGAGTTTGGCATTTTCTACTTGGTTTTTATTGCATCAATATTATTTCAGAGATTGTTTTTAAAATTAAACTACATAAACATTAGTAACAAAATTGGGGACTTACAAAATAAATTTATTGCTATTTTGAATTAAGGAATAAAACTATCTATGCAAGTTTGACTAAACCTATTCATCAGAATAGGACAACACAAAGGGCTTGTTATTATAAAAAAATATAAGTATTTGCACCCACATTTACTGCAACGACCATTTCATAACTTTTTTAACATCAAGTCTGAATTTTGCTAGACAATTATTTAAACATAAACACAGTTACTTGGCCTGACATCTTTAGTTTGGCAGTGGTGTTAATAATAAAAATAAACCCTACAGATCATTCATGGAGCCGACGGTGTTCTACAGAAACAGTGTTCAGCATACAAGGAAAGGAAACCGGTAAGTCTTGACACGGTAGCTAGTACAGTCCACGGAATATTTATGGAGACAAATTAAAAAAAAACGAATTCTTAAACTTGTACAATTTTAACGATATATCATCACAAAGGCCTTTCCAATAGGCACTTAATTTTTTTTTTTACAAAATAAGTATATTAAACAGCTCATTAAGGTTTTATCAAACTGAATTCTATACCATCAGTCTGCTTACCCCTTTAGCATTAGATATGCTACTTAATATGAGAAACTTTAGAAAACAATTTGCGTGCTTCACTTCAGCTAACAATAGTGGCAGCTTGTAATAGTGAAGCTAGAGCTAGTGCTTAAAAATATGTATGGGAAATGTTTGCCTCTAGGTATCACCAATGTTTCTATAAGATTGTTAGAGAAGTTTTCAAAAACATGAATACATTGATGATTTTTGTATTAATTTTAATGAAAGAAAATTGTCTGGGTTCATTCCAAAAAAATATACACTTTACTCATATTTTTAAAAGGTTTGTCCTAGTCAATTTATTTTCTATTCTTCATTCACTCGACTTCTTCGGTGGAAAAGTAAAATTAAAAGAGGTTTTTTTCATATTTAAAGGTACCATAAATGTTCAGTTGACTGTGTTATGAAGTTTTTAATGATTTTAGTGTCTTGCGACTGTTTCAGTGTTTTATTGTGCATGCTTTTATTAATCTGTTTGTGTTTTCTTGTGTTTATTATTTATCTGTATGTAGTAACTAGTAATTAGATATTTGTGTATGTGTAACTATTAATTGTTATTTTATTTATGTATTGTATGTAAAAGTCTTTGTTATACACTTTCACATAAAATCATTGATCATTTGAAAATATCTATTGTTAATGTTTTGTATTCATATTTTATTAATCTAAACTGAATCAAATTTTTATTTACAAATATTTTTGCCATGTCTCGTTCTTCCCAGCTGTGACTCCTGTCTGTGACAGTGTTCATGGTCTTTATGGAGATGGCCACCAGCAGGCGCTTCTCGGTATCCCTTAATTTGTCGTTTCAATGTTTCATTAAAAAAAGTACCTACGATTAAAAGAATACCACTAACGTCTAAACCAGAAAATAATAATAATAATAACATCTTTGAAGATGGCTTACGTTTATATTACTCTGCCATCTCCTTCGAAGAAACACAAGTGTTATGTAAATATATCTGTGTTTATAGATTTCATATTTCATGTTCAAGTCTAAACTTGTACAAAACACTCATTTTTAATCTATAGTACAATAGTATAGCTGTCCTTTTCTTTCATTCGTTATTGAACAAAGAGAGAACAACTTTCAATATATTTGGAAAAATCGACGCGGCGTCCAATCTTTTAATTAGGCGGCAATTAGCGAATTTATCGCGAAATTGTGATAAATGTATTTTTGCAGTGCTTTTTATCTCTATTCCGTTTTAAAATACAGATACACTAACACTTAACATAAACGATATATTTGTGTAATATATTATCGTTTATGCAGAAACAAATATTCCCCTTGAAATATCTAGGGGGCGTAGTCAATTGAATCACTAGACCATATCTACTTCAGCTCGTCTCAATCATCTTCAGATATTATTATATTTAAAATCTAAATATAAAAAGGCGCAGAATAGCAAATATACATCCACGCATTCTTACAAACTCACATTTATAATTTTAGTAGGATAGTAATAGGATGCGTTTCCTATCCACCTACTGATATCACCTACTTTAGTAAGCAATGGGGCACCGCGACCTCGGCTCAGAGCAGGAGAAGGAACAGGGGGGGTTCTCAGTCAGTAAAAGCCTGACACTCCCTCCCGCCCGCTCGTGGGCGGGAAAAGTCATTGGATAATTTTCCCTTCACAAAAAAACCCCAGCCTGATCCTATATATAAACTATTCGTTTGTAATAGTCAACTGTAGGTAATAAAACTATGACGTGAGAATTAGATGCTATTGTTCTAGCCGTATTTATTTATCAGACAATAGAATTCCTACTGTACTAGACTATACATTAGGTACATTTTTATATACATTACGTAGATATGTTTGTATCATGTACTTCGTATCGCCCATGCCTTACGTGACGCTTTGGCGTATTTAGAAAAAAATATTACTTAAGATAGATTTGATTGCCTTACTTCTAGTACTTCTTCGGATATCTGATACAGCTAGTATCTGCGCGAAGTTTAGTTTTAAGTAAGATAATTTGTAAGTAAGATGCTTAAAAGGCACCCTGCTGATTTTCCTCAGGACTCCTTCAGTATGTGTAATGAAAGGAGTATGGTATCTAGAGTTTTTTATGCAACTAACTTATTTGTTTTATTTATTCATAAAATGAATGACTGACTGAATTATGTTAGTCTAATAAGTAGTGGTATTCTTATTTTTTTTTTCAAAATACGTAACAATTTTCCTAAATCCTGAAACTTCTTTTTTATTTTATTTTTTTTGTTTGTGTAAACTTATTTTATTACTTAGAATAGTTAGCATACTCACATAGCCACTTAGTAATAAATAAATTGATACCTAGGTACATAAAAAGCGCTTCTTACACCCGTCCAAAAATATTTTCTTCACGCTTCACGCTTCTTTCTCACAGCGTCATCGTCAGACAGCATCGAATGACCTACAAACACGACGTGTCTGAACATGTCCAACCAACGATAATTTTGGAAACAATACAATTTTATCAAAGTTAATTACTTGTAAAATACAGACCTGTTTTCCCCGTAGATATCGATAGGTGTTATCGCTAATAATCTTTAATTCTGGCGTATATAAATGGTAGTTTTATGATAACGGTGCCATTTACTTCCAAGCTTTTAAATGAAGAAGGCCTTAACTAATTTTCTGTTCTGACGGTATTAAGGAGGTGGTATTTGATTTTAGGACTGTTTCTATATTAAATTACTCTCTCACTATTTATTTACTTACATTATTCTTGCTAAATGTATATTTTATTTTTACCTAAGTAACTTAAATATTTTAAAATAATATTTAATTATTATATTTGTTTAGTATAATAATGTATTTTTTTTCATTAGTAGCAGATTGAAGATCTAGTGTTAGTTTAAAGAAGTGGTTGTAAATTTTTAAGTAAGTATGTCGCTAATGGAAAAGTTTAAGACACAAGGTGTACCTACATAGTTTTATTTTTCTGGTACTGGTTCAGGAGAAGAAACAGATTTGCGTTTGTTATAAGAGTAAAACATCTTTCATTTTTCCCCAAAAGCGCTAGTGCAAAAGTTTACTGTTTCAAACCAAGCAATTACCTACACTTCTACAGTCTTGCAATTACTCTGTTACACCTTGGGTAATGCACCAAGCGACCAACTATTACATTTATAATACGTGATGGAGTTAAGTCACTCATTTCCTCAATACCCGTACCTCATAGCCATGAAAATACTGCCTAAAACCAGATAAAAACAGGGTAAAGAGAGCAATTCCGCACATTTAAAATGTTTTTTTAAACTAATCCATTTATCTAAAAAATAACATAACAAAACATGAAATCAGATTTTGTTTATATAGAAAAAACATTTAGGTACTATTCTGTAATATAAGCTTCCCTATAAAATTTCATATTAAAATTGCAATATGTTTATTGATGACATGACTAAAAAACAAACCAACATATTTAAACATGTTATGGAATCTAGAATTCGGACTTGATGATGTATTACAACATTGAAATCCAGAAATCCAAATGCGTAAGGCAAACGCACGCAATTAATACACAAGTAGCAACTTCCTGAAAAACAATGGATAATATCCCTCCCACCATACATCCCGTCTAATTATAACAATAAACCTATTCTAATAATAGCGTTACCCTTTCTACCAGGGGTACTCCCCTAACGTATTTCCGTTAAACAATCAACAAAAGCCCTTACAAAACACGACATATTTCCGACATTAGTCATCCTACTTGCGCAGACAAGTCTCAACTTGTATCTAGCATTACACATTTTGTGTTTTCAGTCCAGATGTGTTCACTTCCAGAGTCATTTTAATTGTCTATTTTCAAAAATAGATGCGGATATGCATTCCTTTTTAGCGAGACTGGCCAGTCATTGACCTTAGACCATTTGTTAGACCCGTCCTAGTCTAGATGTTGTTCGTTTTTTATGGGAGAGTATTGGGGATTCTGTTGTGATAATAATATGGATACTTACAAAAAAATATTGTTGCGTAATGGCTCGACATCGGAAGTGATATGAAGTTTAGATGGACAATCTTTTAGAATAGTAATGATTCTATAAAAAATAGAACCGGGCCTCATAATTTCTTTGAAGTCAATTCAAATGTTTGAAATAGGTATCAACTTACCAATACCCATTATGCTCCAAAACAAAGTTAATGTCTATAAACGCAGGTGCAAAAGATTTAAAAAAAACTTAAATGTAAATGTAAAATTATAGCTTTTAGATCCTATTATAAACTGGATAAAAAGCTGTTATTTAAATAAAAGAAATAGTAATCAAGTTGAATAGAACAGGTGGATGTCTTTTTTAAATTTATAACCTCAAATGTCATAATGAAAATCACAGAAAATCAACAGAAAACTAATGATTTTTTACCATAATAAACAATGGAATAATATTCCTACAATCCTACCTCTGATTGGCAAAAAAAATCAATATTCAAAAAACTTGATTTTAACAAGAACTGTAAATAGCCAGAGTGGAGTCGTGTCGTGACAAAAACGTCACGTTTTTCCAACGTGAGTTGCAAATATGGTGGTGTACCAAAAACTGCAATGTCAACGTCCTAGTTCTATGCAAAGACAAGTTTGAACAAGATTGTAAACACGTTCAAATGAGTCAGGCTGTCCGTCCGTGGGCCGTTGTACGTCACAACTGCATGCACAGTAATCTACATCGATATCTTTATCTAACGACCACTTATTTACTGGTTACATGCATCGCGGGTATTCTCAATCTACCTAACATTCCATGGTATGACATAGTTTTTGGCTCCTTGACCCTTTAAACGTATGTATATTAGCTTTGAGAAAATTCCACATTTTATAGTATTGCCGCTGCGTCTTTTATCAACATCAACTTAATTGCATAACAAAATAAGGTTGAAAGTTTGAAAGAGGCAGGCATCCATAGCTGTTACCATTTCGCATTTACCTTTTATCAGATTCCCGGAAAGAGCTTATTTCGTGGTGGAGGTATCAAAAAAGTTTTAAAAGAATATTTCATACATATTCATGGCTTCGCTCTCATTATTTTGAACCTGATATCACATTCGTTTAATTTAATATTGTTTAATATTATATACTTCCTAAAATCTGAGGTTCGATCCCTCTGTCTGAGGAGAAGGAGTGATTTGATACTAAGAATTTGAATTATGCACAAAGTTGTAACGTGAGATGATCTATCTGACACACAACTTGCAACGATCTTATCTGCAGGAGACTTGAATGATAGTATCTTATTATTAATACAGCATCGATAATTAGAAAGCTTCAACACACAGTTAAAAGTTATTTAGATACTAAATTATGAAGAATTCAAAAGGTGCTAAAGTGTTACTCTGTACAAACAGAATATTAAAAACGCGTTGTGTATTTTTGCCACACAAATAATCAACAGTTTTACAGTTCATACTCTTTTATGAATATTATAAGGTTTTTTATAAGAGACATAAGTAATCTGATCTGAATATGCATAATGGTCTGATATTTTTTTGAAAAGCTAGTAAGCCATAATTTATAGTGATATGGTGTTGAGTAGTATTTATCAGTAATATTAACATGTTATAATGGTGGTTGTCAGATGTGTCTGAACTGCAACTGGTGGACCCAGCAGCCATGCCCGGGGTAGTCACCGGATCCAGTGGACCCGAAGACATGACTGATGATCATTATACGATGTCGCAATCTACACTAAAATTAATATACTTTAGCTAATGTTCAATACGACAAAATGTTATTGGGACTATGCCCAAGTGTACGATCATTCACAAACGTGTGAGGAAGGTCGATTGATCTCTTAGCCGACTTTTTAAAAGGAGGTTCTTTATTCGATGACTTTTGCGTCTGTGAATATTTAGTGCACTCGGGCACTCGCTTGGCTAAGTAATGTCAACATAGCCAAACTTGTGACGCACAGAATCCTGTAATGTACACGTCTGATGTCACCATTTAATTTTATACGTTTTAGAGTATTCTGTTAGTATTTGTAATTATGAACATATTTCAAATTCAGGTTTTCCATTCGCTCATTACATACATTATTTTAATTGATCATTCCTTTTGCTTTGATTAGGCGAGTTGTTTAAAAACAGGACAATTTGCTTTTAATGGTGGAGGAAAATGTTAAGGAAACTCCTAATATAGCTGGTAGCGCCCAGTACCAGTTACATGAAAATAACTAATGCTACGTTGAGTGGAGGGCTTCAGACAACTCGATACTCGAGTGCTGTACTTCAAAACAATGACAGACACTTGAGCAAACATTTGTTTTGTTTAGAGTAAATATCACGCGATGATGCGCAGTTTAAAATGGCGCTTGCTTCCACCAAACCAAAGCGAAATCAGACTAAACTTGTATGTGCTAAATGCTTTATTGACCTGCCAATAATATAAAGGCTGTTTCCTCTCTATATTTTCTCTTTCTTGCCAAAACTTAGGGTAAGTATCTATAAGAAAAAGTTTGATCACTGCACGCTCATAAACGCATCCCTATGTGACAACCCTAATTTGAAATATGTTTTTGTGTGATTGTACTATTGATTTTAGTGTTATTCTAGTATTTAAATTATTAATATGGTTGTGGTAATTGATAGGAAAATGTCTGAATAATGCGTTTATGTACTTAATTGATTTCTAGGTAATTGGAAGTATGACTTATTAGCGGTTGTCAGATTTCCCATGATTGCTAAATGCTTTAGTCATGCTTGACGCGTTCATACTTGTAGCATGGATGATGTGTAAAATTTCTCATATATACTTACTCAATGCGCTATGGTAGACCCAAATGATTATATGTTATCACTCGATCCTCAGCTATTCTTCGATATATTTGAACGAACGGCTTGGATTTACCAAAATTTATACTGCCTGTTTCGGTCATGCATACTATCACAAGTTATCAGTATTTTTCTACTGTTATCACAACCATATCTGCATGTATTTTAGTGTGAAAGTGTGTAGATTAAATGATGTATGTAGATATGTTATTATTGGCATTGAAAAAAAATTATAACGAAAACACAAAATAACAAAATGATGACACACAAAAAAAAAGTAATGAGAAAGACAATATCGAAAAAAAGTTCCTAAGACACTCACAGACAGACATTAACACTATAAAAAAAATGCACATTACAAAAAAGAATTCACTGGAAAAGTTGAGAAAAAAAAAAATGGTTTTGAGCAAAAAAAAGTTTGAGAAAAGAATGGGAAGTGAGGAGTACAGTTACAGGGGCAGGTAGCCAGGGCGCGTGGACGGTGCAAGGTTTGATGGCTGCACGGCAGTTGTTGTACAGAGTTTGAACAGTATGTGTGTTGTAGATATTGCGCGCGACACGAGCGATACGGAGGCGGCGGATAGCGATGCGACCGACGCTAGTGATGTGGAGTATGAGCCCGTAACGGAGCCCGAGGACATCGGCCCTCTCGACAACAACGATACTTCAGCCAACAGCGACGTGAGTTTATATAACATAGCTTTGTTTACAAGAGATAACATGCTCTATATTCTATACAAGCTACTGTTTTGCGGTTTGTTCGACTGCTATTGGTCGTAGGATGATGTTTTATAACCTATAGCATTCAGGAACATTGTAGCTATCTATCAGTAAAAGCATTTTGGCAATCCGTCTAACGGTTCCAAAGATTAACCTACATACAAACTTACAAATAAAAAAAAAATACCTCTTTATGATATTAAGTATACCTATAGATGACAAACGAATGTTTGTAAAAACAAAAAAAAATACATATAAACTACAACTAACAGACACAGAGAAGTAAGCTAATAAGCTTCTTCACACAAGACTTAGTTAATCGAGCGTGTTCCTATGTCCAAAAAGGTGTGCATAGCTACCATGACACAAAAAAAAGTTTCTGGAACGAATATACTTATTGTGTGTGCAAAGGGTGTGTTTCGGAGTTACACAGCTCTAAAAATAGTGAATACGTTTAAAATCTGGACGAGATAAGAATGAAAATACAACCTGGTTCAAAGGTTCACTATAAATACTACACATAATAAGCAAACATGGTACGTTTCATTGTTCACAATTCACATGTCCGCAAAATGAAACGTTTTCGTAGTAAACGATTTTACTATAGCGATTTGAAAGTGTTCTGTTTACATTTCATTTAATATAAAATGTTTTAAATTCCAGAACGACAATATAATAGCGACAAAGGTGATCGAGGTGTCGGTGGGCGACGATGGCGAGCTTCAGTTCGCGGACTCGGAGCGCACGGACTCGCATGAGAGCGACAGTGAGATGGACCTATACGACTACTGGAACTGCGCGCAGTGCCGCGCAGAGAACAATAATCCTCTGTACAGATACTGCCATAAGTGCTTCCAGGTAATTGAACTGTTTTACCAATCGCCTTGATCAAGCGTGGCCGTGGTGATTTATGCTCAAACATTCTTTGCAGCAGTGGTGATGTGAAATGATGGTTTGATTGTTTAGAACCGGTACCTAATTGAGTAGAATATCATGACTGTCAAAAATAACTTTATAATATTGTAAACGTCAGACATTTTTCTTTCACTTTTACATGAATATGACGAAGCATAAGAAGTGGCATGTGCTAGTTACCAACCACCCTTTTTATGATAAGGGTTTGAAAATCACCCAATGACTTCTTCCGCCCTGGTTACAAGAGGGATTTTCAGACCATGAATAAATTGTACCCACCGTTATGTGACAAAACTCTATTTATTTATGTATGTTCTACAACGAATTCTAATTCGCTTGATGAACATTACAGGTTCGCAAAAACTTCTTCCCGCCGAGACCGAGACCCAAACGGAACAGGCACACGGACACGGACAAAACTGACGAGATACCGCGCACACTCTCACAGGACTCTGGAGTGGACTCGCCGATGAGCCAAGAGGTGGACGTGCCCACCAGCCAGGAGGTGGACCCCAACTTCGGTGAGGGCACGTCTGGTAATGCTGAACCCGACCTTAGCATAGTTCGTAGGTACCGTAAGCGACGCGCCGAGTCCGCCGACCGACGTACCAAACGCAAACGTCTATCGCGAACTGATTCTGACACAGATCTCGATTCGGACGACGATAGCCAAACGAAAATCGACGTGCGACCACTCGTTAAAACTGTTAGCGATCCCGCGATCACCATTGATGATAAACCCCCCGTTAAGATCACTAAAAAAGTGATAGCGAACACTTTGATCGATAAACTGGAGGACACCAAGAACTTGTGTATGATTTGTATATCGGAACCCAAGTCCGGGGTGTTCGTGCACGGGCGGATAGCGCACATCTGTTGCTGTTACAAGTGCGCTGTCAAAGTGTGGGCCAAGGCCAAGCGCTGCCCAGTCTGTAACTGTAAGGTCAGCAATGTGCTGAAGGCAGTGGTCATGTAGACGTGAGGATGACCTCTGGACGATCCCATCAAACCATTTACTTCACATTAGGTCCCTATATCAATTCATTACGCGTGCAATGTTCTCTTGTAAAAATGATTATTAATTACCCACAAATGAGCTCTACTTACGAATTAGGAAAATAATAAATTCAAAATATTTAATTTCTATGTTTCATATCGTCCACATAGGTCGCTAGTTAGGACTTGGACTCGACATAAGGCCGGGAATTACTTTGTAAGTGATGGCTGAGTGAACGGAAAATCGAGTGAAATGGTGGTCAAATTCAAGTAAGTATGGGATGATATGAATGAATGATTGAATGAGTTATGTTGTTTGTACATAATGGCTAATAGTTGCCTTATTTGTATGTTTATAATATTAAACTATATCTGTTTCTTTGTGATACAATAATATTTTCACGTAAATCTAAAACTTAAGTATGTTATATTGTGTTATAAGATATAGCTTTGTGTATAATTTCTTACTAGCCTCAACATTTTTGAATTATTCTTATTACGCTTTTGTTTTTCCTTTAAAATTTTAACAGTTACTGGGCAATAGCATTTTGCACTATAGAATATAAATGGTGCTATTAGTTCCAGTTTTATAAGATGTTCCAGTGCTAATCTGACACTCATGATACAGACAAAATTTGTGACGGATGACTGATGTGTATGCTAAGGAAAAATAACTGATATTATTAACTGTTAAGGTGTGTTCAACAAGTCATTATGTGCAAACATCATAGACTAAATGTTTGATGTCCTGTGCGAAACGACGCCAATTAGATATAAGTCTTCTATGTAAGGTAGAGATTCCTTTAAATTTTTTTCCCGAAAAACGAAAGAGTTGTCCCGTGCGGGAATCGAACCCGCTGCACTTTGCACGGCAGCCAGTTACCCAGCCACCGCATCTATCATGCTGTCACTTAGGCACATTGTTTTTTTAAAAAAACGTGTCCGTTATATTCCTTCTATTTTTCAATTTATTCGAGGTTTTCGCCATTTATAAATGTAACGTAATATACATCATAAAACAGACACCAGATAAGATTGCGAAGACTTGATATATATCACTTAACTTACAAATATCAATATATCACTTAACTTACAAATATCAGAACTTAAGTACTGGCGCCATTGCTAATAAAGAGTGTTAATTTTTAGGAACTCAAACGATTTTAAGTTGTGTTTAGAAAGTGGGGCCAAAAACTTAAATTGTTTTTCTGACACCGGCCTAGTAGGTCAGTATTCGCAGTTTTACTGCGGGGCATATTATTTCCACATGGTAACATAGCCATTTTAAACTAATAAGTGTTGATGAAATGAAGATATGTCTCTCCCAATGACTATCAGGTCAGTAAAAAAACTGTAGATGCCAATTTCAATAAACACACCTACGTTACAAACTGGCCTTCATAATTTGTCAGTGATCAAACTTCTATAGATCATTTAATGTACTCTTATTCAAAGGAATCTCTATCTTGTATAACTTTCGAGCTATCAATGAATGCCCTTAACTCTTTGTGATAACAATCTGATAATGTAGGACCGTAAGTAGAAAGTAGATAAGAAAATCACGGCAAACTTAGTTATTAATATTAATTAATTATATAATTCAAATCATATGTTCTACATACATTAATAGCAAAACTGTTAGCGAGAAGTTTTATAGCAGGGACAAACTTTGAGACATTATTTAAGTATTTGTCTCTGTCTATGATATAAATAGATATATATAAAATTGTTTCTGTTAGACTTAGGTACCCGGAGGTATGTTTGTCTGTCGGTCACACTTAGTTGTGTTACAAGCAAGTCTGTTTTACAATTCCTGTTTACATTACATGGGGATTACAAATAAGAAGACTAGACCGAAACTAAAAGGTCTTCCAATGTGTAAATAGGTAAAATGCCCTATTTACCAAGCTATTAATGTGTGGAACATACTCTATGTATAAAAGTGTTAGTCTCGGCTCCTGTTATGTAAATACTATTTGTAAATAGGTAGAGACGTCAACCACCGAAACAGATTTTAATATATTTTCATTATTAGCGTTAGGGATCTTCTAAAATTATAAACAATATCGGCTATTTTCGTGTTAATGCCAAAAAGAAACATTTTTGATGATTATTGTTATATTTTTAAATTTAGGTTTTGTTACTGAACCATCTTGGGACGCTTCATATGTGTAGGTTTTAGAAAACAATTGAAATGCGAGGAAATCATGAAGTGTTTTAGGCTGATGTAATTCTTAGAACGTCGTCTAGCGTATAAAATAAAACGTGTTGCGTTTTACGTGTCAGAATCAATAACTTCATTAGTAAAATGTTAGGACATTCGTTAACATGTTAAACTTTATTTTGAATGGGAAGGTAATAACGATTTGGTTACCATGTACAATATCCATTTATATCCTTAAAGACGATCATTTAGTGGACCCTTTTACTCGCGGTCGCATTATATCCGAGTAATCGTTGCTTATCCCATTATGCTTAGTGGTTAAAAGGTGTATATTTTTCAAGAACATTTTATTACTGTATATTTATTCTGCGTTTAGTTTGGCTTATACAAATTAAGTCAGAATTTTCGCGACTTCGCTGTTTATAACTTGCAACATTTAGTGTTTAGGGTAATCTAGATTTATTGATATTCAATTTTATATACCTACATACGTGTAATTTTACAATTGATCTTTTAAAATCTAACCCACCATCCTTCCTACCGGACAGAGGATATTTCTTGTTACACAGTTAAAGATTTATTTCAAAATAATAAAGATATTAGTTATTATTAAATTGTAGATCTCCCCTATTATTTTGTACAGAATCTAGATTACGATTTTTTGTTTAAGTTTCGCAAACATGTAATTACTTATTCACATTGAAAAAAAAAATTAAAAAAATATACGTTATCGAAAAAGAATATTCGATATAACAAGAAAAAAAGAATTAATAATAAAACTTTTTTTTTTCAGCAACTTTTGACTTTTTTATGTATTTCCCTATTCCCTTGTACCCGATATACCTATTAAAATATAATTAAGTAATTAATTTCTATTGTGACTGATGTTTCACGGTGTATTAAAATACACAGTTGATGAAGACTTTTACTACATACAACTATCATTTCTTTTTCTTAAAACAAGCTAGAAATCTGTTACCTACACCTGTATTTTCAAGAAGACGAACACACATCAATGGCAAGGACATTGAGCAACATTGAATCACAGTAACAAGAAGTGATTCAATTACTTTTCTTTATTTTCTTGTGTAGTCTTGATGGCAGGGATTGGATGACAGGGTATCCAGAACTATCTGGTGCTACTTACTACATGTGTTGATTGACTGAATTACATTCTTAGCGCCATATTGTGAGCGAGATTCTGTGCAAGAGCAATAATTTTGCGCGGCCCTTGTCAATAATAAGAATGGGGAGGTTTTTAGGTCATTCCCTCTTGCCCCAACCAGGGTAGGAGAAGCAGTGTAATGATGTTCTGCCACAAAAAACCCGGCCAAGAGCATATCGGGTTACGCTCAGTGTAGGGTTCCTTGGCTTTCGGTTTGTCACAATAAGTGAGTTATTGTACTTAAATCTTAAAACCGCAATTCAGCGTAAGTAGCAAAAGTACAGCGCTATCTCACAGCGGATTAGGAAACTAATTAATACAAATTACGGGTTTGTAATTTTGGATTTCTTAAACCTAATTAATTACCTTTCTTTACGTGTAGAGGGTGGGGGATACCCTAAAAGAATATTTGTTTTCACTTATTTTACCACTCTTCGTGATTGATATAAATATTGGTGCCAAACTTAGAAAGAAAGAAAAACCATTCATTAACTCAAAAGCAACAAAACAAACAAGTAAAACTAACGACGACACAAACATATAAACATTCAAATACGCTGCAGTTGCGTCACCCTGCGAAAAAGGACGGTGCTCAGCATATATGCTGTGCCTCGTGCCTGCAGACAACAGCGCTGACCCGCAAACTTCAGCTTTCTAGTGCTAACGGTCACTGAGATTATCCGCGGACGGACAGATAGACAGACACACACACACACACACACACACACACAAGGCGAAACCTTAAAGGTTCCTAGTTTACTAAGGAACACTAAAAAATTGCGCCATTATGTGAGCATTGTTACGACAGCCGTTGACCGACGATCGATTTCAAAAATGACATATTATGACAATTGGTAGGTCAAAAATAAATTAATTCGACGTTTCAATACAATAAAATATTGAAAAATAACTATACTTTTATTCATCGATCGATCGATACACTAATTTTTAGATTTTTTTAGCTAATTATTAAAAAATAAGTAAGCTATTTGACGCAAAAAAGTTATGACGTCATAGCTCAGTTTTTCATACAAATTTCATAGAAAAGTATCGTTTTTGACGTTTGTATAAAAGTATTGAATTTGACTAGTTGGAAACTACCGTATTCATAGAAAGTTTTGTCTAAAGATTAGTGCAAGCAATTAATAATATTTGGAGCTAAGCGATAAAATCTTAAGATTTTCTATTGATATCGAACGTCACCAGGTGGCGTGTTTGTATTCGAGGTTATCAACCTTTATACTATAGCACGTAGGTTCATCACTTTATGACTAACCTGCTTATCCCCAAATGGTTGCGACAATAGAGTCCTTATCGTCATTACGTGCTATTTGCTTTCTATATATTGCTTTGTTTCTAATAATTTAAGTGGTCTATTGTTTTCAAATATAAAACGATGAATTACCGGTAGCCTAAGTAAGTACGGTGTCCACATCAAGTGCGACTACCGACCTTGGCGCCTGATGACCTATTTTTTTTATGTTGGTGCGTTGGTAGGACTACTGCGTTTAGCCCTCTGATAGGTTGGATAACAAAGAGCAGGCCAATCAGAGCGAAGAACGCCATAAACATGTCGATCGACTTAACGTAAAGCAAATTCCCTATGAACTTTTGTAGTTTTGATTCCCTGCTTAAGCAAAATAATCAATTTCAATGTAAATATGCATTTTATGTTAAGAGTCTAGGATATACAACTGGCACAGGCGATCTAGTCTAAGGGGGAAGGCAGTCAGTTTAGACGTAGCAAACGCGTTCGATGCGGTTTGGCACTGAGGGCTTTTATCGAAGCTTCCTTCCTATGGGCTTCCCGAGAATTGTGAAGCTGATTGAAAAAGAGTAATATTGTTGTGTATTGAGTTTCTTGCTCGTTCTACTCCATAGAAATCTACACTTTGGAACGATCAAATATCTTCACTAGAGGATAGATTGACGCGTGCGTTCGTGCAGCGGAATGTTGTTGAATTTAAAGATTTTAATTATGCAGATATTTAGTGTATGACGTCGTATAATTGTGTACGGTAAAAAAAATTTGTGCACGCAACCATTGTGGAGAAATTCACCAAAAACTGATTCCGCTGGGCGAACGTTGTCCTGGCGGAACGTTTTTTAATCCATAGACTTTAGAAGAAAAGAGATGTATCCAAAAATTAGTGTGTATTTGCGTGTAATTGTGTATGTATGAATAAAACTAGTGCATGCATAAACTTCGGAGAAATTCAAGTTTCCGCTACGCGAACGTTTGGCCATTAG